AAACCTCTTTTTCAAAAGGGCCTTCAAAGTTAAATCCTCAGTCAGGTCTTATCCAACCCCTAAATAGTATTTAACAACAGATTGAACTTTAAACATTTATAAATGCATGCAAGCACATAAATGACAAATGTCAATGGCAAATTACACCATACATGGTTCACTGTGAGTGGTGGCATAGATGTAAGCATAAATCATTGTGTCACTTTCTTTCAACCAGCAGTGCTCTAATCTGCCAGTGCTTTAACTGTAAAAGAAGAAGCAGGAGGAGGAAGGGATAGATAAGATTTAGATACGGCTGTAGTTTATTGGTGATTGAGCTTTCTTTTACATGATTGAAGAAGATTGACATGTGGAACCAGGCTTTTCATGCTGTCCATTCAGTGGACGACTGTTAATTAATGATGGGACAAATAGGATTAGAGTAACATTTTGAGCTCCATATGCTCTCTCTGTAGGAGCAACGGAGGCAGTTTCTCTCTAAGTTGATATCAAAGGCATTGCTGTTGTCCTGCTTGCATATGAATGTGTCTTCTGTTCTGTAGGATCTGCCATCCCTGTGGGCATTGATGTGCAGGTGGAGAGTATAGACGGCATCTCTGAAGTAAACATGGTAAAAGTCCACATTCTCTTTTTATATAAATATAGCATGATGGTTCTGGTTTTTTAACAGGTCCATTAATGATTTTTAGTATATATTGAATAAATAATTGAAACTAAGACATTATGAGATTATTTCAATAATCTGAATACAAACCAGTTCTTAGCACAAAATTCAAAAAAAGTTGGTCTTCTAAAAGCAGGCCTTTGGCTTCCTACAAAGTAAATCTCAGCAATATAAAAGGTCTTCCTGGTATATGTCAAAACCATTTTTTTTGCACCAAAATGCCAGTAACTGCTCTTCACTGTTGCCCTTAATAAGTTGTCATGTTTATCTATAAGGTCAGTAAAATCTAAAGGTCTCTTGCAGGACTTTACGATGACCCTATACCTGAGGCATTATTGGAAGGATGAACGGTTGGCATTTCCCTCCAGTAACAATCTGAGCCGCACATTTGACGGCCGGCTGGTAAAGAAGATCTGGAAGCCTGATGTCTTTTTCGTCCATTCCAAGCGCTCCTTCATCCATGATACCACCATGGAGAACGTAATGCTGAGGGTTTACCCAGACGGCAACATCCTTTACAGCGTCAGGTAGATGCCTGCAACCTCTGCTGATTAATTTCCTTCATATGTAATGTTTTAATAATGGAATATTCTTTTGATTGTAGGATTACAGTTACTTCTCTGTGCTCAATGGACTTCAGCAGATTCCCACTGGACTCTCAAAACTGTTCCCTGGAATTGGAGAGCTGTGCGTGTCCACCTAGAAACATCTTCAGTTCTAGTGTAATTTAAACTTGCAGCTTTTTGACACCATTTAGACAGTAAAATAATGGTAATGGAAAGGTGCTTACAATGGAAGTACCATATATGAAGTAATGAAATAAATGTTCGAATATGCACTGTTGCGAAAGTATAGCAGCATGTTACATACAGTAGCCTATGTTAGCATGAGACAAGTGCTTCCTGACCTTTTCTGTGAAAAAGTGTTTTTAAATTCTGTCATGTGAAGCCTGTAAACCAAGCAACCTTTCACTTTTAATTCGATTTTATCAAACAATTAGATGTTTATTTGCCTAGAAAAAGGTAGTTACACTCCAAAAATGATGATTTATAACTTTACAAATTTACAAGATGTTACACATAATAGCAGTAAAGTCATTGTGAGTTGCTATTTGCAACCTGTTTCTTCACATAATGTGACATAAAACTGAGTGAAGCAGGATATTTATCAAGAAAAATGCAAACTGGAAATCAATTAAATCATTAAAAGTGGATGTTACTTAGTACTATTATTATATTTATAAATATACGGAATTAGCTTTTATTTAATTTTTGGTTTTAATTTTTTACATTTTAGTTTTAGTAATTTGATGTGCTTTTGCCATTTTTATTTTATTTAAAAAAATTTTCAATAGTTTTAGTTCATGACAACAACACTGTTACTTACTAGAGAAAATGCTAGTGAAAATTATTTTCTTCAGGCACCAACATTATGCAACAAATGCCGTTTGAATCCAGAACATTAATAAAATGTGCCATAATAGCACACTTCAAGTTATCCATGTATATAAACACAACTTGAACAGGCACACTATCTTTTGCCTGTTTTCTTTATCTTTTGGCTTCTCTCCTGTATCCCATTAAGACGCATATGCTGAGAGCGACCTCATGCTGTACTGGAAAAATGGCAATGACTCTTTGAGGACAGATGAGATTGCTCTCTCTCAGTTCTTCATTGAAGAGTTTCACCCCTCACATGGTCTGGCACTGTACAGCAGCACGGGTATGGCACACTTTTCTCTCTCTCCTTCTGTGTATTCATGCTATGACAAATCTTATCTCTTTGTCCTGTTTGGTACCAGTAGGTTATTAATTCCTGACTTTACACTCGTTTCTGTCAGGCTGGTACAACAGGCTCTACATCAACTTCATCCTCAGAAGACACATATTCTTCTTTATGCTGCAAACATATTTTCCTACAATGCTGATGGTTGTGCTGTCCTGGGTGTCTTTTTGGATTGACAGGCGGGCGGTACCGGCCCGTGTCTCGCTTGGTGCGTAACACCTATCCACACACATGCAAAAACTGCTCAAAAATGGTTCTTCTATTGTATCTCTGTGAAAATCCCCTTTTGGAAGCTTTATTTTAATGTTGTTGGACTGCAGCCCTGTGTGGTGTAGATTTAGGTTGCTTAGTTGTCTCGTTGCTTAACAAAGTCGTAATGTTTTTCCGAAGATTATAAGAAACAAGCCTGCATAAATGTGATTTAGCCAAGTAGGACATGGTCCTGGTTTAACATCAACAGAAAACGCATTTGTCACTCTCATTTATAATCAAACTATGTGTGAGTGCGACCATATTTTTCACACTAAAACAGTACTGACATGCATAATTTGCTGCTGTGTGAACATAGCCTATTTATGCGGCTTCACACTGTGTAGCTCCACCCATTATAAAATCTCACTGGTCCAAAATCCTGCAAAATGTGTTCTGATTAGCTGTGATTTTTAGTGATCGTGTCACAGAAGTGTCACAATTTTTTTCTTTTATACTCGCTGGTAACCCTAGCCTGACATCTGATTGGTTTGGAAGAATCAACAAGTATGTTGATCTAGACAGCACTGCATTTTGTAACTTTGTAAATCAGTCTAAAATTGCGGTCACATTAGCGAACTCTGTGAGGAAATATTTTGCCCTATCGAAAAATTCCCAGTTGTGTGGACTCTTATTGAAATGACTAGAGTTCAGCCTCCGAACTGGATTTCAGTTAGCTGAACAATGATAAATGTGACTGCATCAGAGTATAGTCAGTGTGTCTCTCTGCATGTGTGTTCAATCCAGGCATCACTACAGTGTTGACTATGTCCACCATAATTACGGGAGTGTCAGCATCCATGCCTCAGGTATCATATGTGAAAGCGGTGGACATCTATTTGTGGACCAGCTTCCTGTTTGTGTTTCTGTCCGTCATCGAGTATGCAGCCGTCAACTACTTCACTACTAAGGAGGAAATGAAGAAACTCGAGCAATTGAAGGTCAAAGTTCTCTTAAACATTCTTAATTATTTCACTCTAAACTTGATACAAATTTTCTGTATTTTCAGTGTAATGATGCATTTTCTCTACATTCCAGGAAATTTTTATTTTGAAATGTCGCCCCCCGTTGATCAAATATTGTAATAGATCAATCAATTCTTTAAAATGGACTTAAGACAGCATAAAAATGCCTTTTAAACCAGATCTATTTTTGTCCACACTGTTAAGTTCTAAATAGACAAAAAAGATCCATATTGTTCATGTGCTATGTAATTATTAACCTATATGATAGCTGTCTGTAAATGGAACAAAATTCCAGTGATTATTCATGGGTAATCTTGATTGAAATAATTAATATCTCCATTGTTGATCTCAAATCAAATATGGCCCTTGTGGACCTCAATAACATCAAATGTCAATGGACCTTGATCCTCAAACCTCTGCCTAGACATTATTTTTTATTTTAGAGCAAGTTTTAGTGCACTATTTCTTTAATCTCCAATATATTGTACTTTAAATAATCTTACCACATAAATTCCAGAAAAAGTGAATTGTGTTTGTCTCCTACAGCTCTCTGGATACGATGCATCTCAAGCCATGGCGTTCGATGGCTGTTTCCATGACCAGGACATAGAGCTCAGCACATTTCCATTGTCTGGCCTAAACACAGACCCATGCATGTCCTCCAGGAACTCCACAACGCCCGACCTCCCTCCCGTCCTGGGCACGCGCCTCCGTCGGCGGCGTTCTATCCGCCAAGGCGTCAACCATATCATGAACAACAGTTACAAGATCGACTCCTATTCCAAAATATTCTTTCCTTTGGCATACTTCCTCTTCAATATCATCTACTGGAGCATCTACTCCTAAGCGAGAGAGAATGTCATCCAGAAAACTGGCCTGCTCTGAGTTTAAGACTCTCATAAACTTGATTGCTTGAATGTGATCACATCCAAACTCTCACACACACAGAAACTGTATCACAGACAAAAGGTATAATAAATTATTTATGTTAGAATCTCAGATTCCTAACTCTGCCTAAAATGTACAAGTGTGAAATTATCATAAATTCATGAAACTACATAATTGTAACATGATAAATCATATTACTTTTTTGGCTACACAGAACCCTTATACTACTCAAAAATAATTTCAGACAAATGCTGTTTTACATAGTACACAGAAAGCAAATTAGATTACATGTAACACATTTTTAGATACATTAGCATATTAATAAAATTTTTCCTCTTTATGTAAGAACTACAAAACTGAGAGGGACTATAAAATGTGAAAAAACAAAACAAATAAACAACTATATGGAAAACAGAACATATCTCAGTCTTTCTACAACACGTCTGACAGATATATATGGTTTTTAAGACAGAATTTTTTCCTTCATTTTAAATGTAGTCCATCAATTATAAAACCTTTATTAAGTACCATTTGATGCACTTGCATCATCTGAGCTTTATTTATTTATTGCAGAAGAGGTGTGTAATACTGTTTGCTGAAAACTTATAGGAGTTTAAAACCCCAAAAGCATAATATACCTCACTCCTCAGTACATAGAGATATTTTTACACATTGACTCCCATAGGTACATGCTCTTGCTATTTATTACTCAGCTGTGAGCAGCCCAGTTCAATAACAAATAATAAAATGTCTGGCTATAAAGCTAAATGCTGAAAGCTTTACTGCATGTAACATTGATTCAGACAAACTGATGAGAAAAGACATTTTGAGCTGAGTCATTAGATTCTCATCTTGGTAATAAATGTTTTTTTCAGGCCTGATAGAAACATAATATTAAATGGACTGTTTCTTCACCTATTTTCCTGTCTGCGTTTATAATCCTCTTCTAAAAACTATTCAGATCTGAGTCGTGAACGTATTTGACTGTTCATCTCATTGAAGATCACGTCGTCATTTGCTTCCCCTGACATGATCACACTGTCATCCACCAGTGAGCCTTTAATGTGAAATTACAGAGTTAAGAACATTCCTGACTTGTATAAAATGCATTTGTAAATTTTTTTTTTTCATCAGAACTGACCGATGCCTTGGGATGGCACTGAGTCATCACTGCTCACTGAGCTTCGCGGTACACTGAGGGTCCCTGAATCTGCCGTCATGATCGAAGTCTTTTTGGTGTGGTTGCTCTGTGTGGCTGTCCGACTCCACTCTGTGGATAAAACATTTGAGAGATTGAGAGGAGACACCTATAAAATATCTATTAAAAGGTAACATGCAGCTATTTGTATTGGTTAATAATGCAGTGGTACCTGAATTTTCAGCCAATCGTAAACTGCCACAACAGAGGTACATTCTCCACTGTTTACGGACATTTTCCTTCAGAGCGCAGTGGAAAACAAAAATAAAAAAGCCTGAGAGAGAATGAGAACAAGAAAAAAAGACCCTCTTTTAAATCAAGCGATCAAGGTACACTTAAAAATAAAGGTGCTTCAAAAGGTTCTTCAAGCGATGCCATAGAAGAACCATTTTTGGTTCCACAAAGAACCATTCAGTCAAAGGTTCTTTAAAGAACCATCTCTTTATTACCTTTTTATAATCTGGAGAACCTTCTTTTGCCACAAAGAACCTTTTGTGAAACAGAAAGGTTCTTCAGATGTTAAAGGTTCTTTATGGAACCATTTAGGCAAAAAAGTTCTTCTATGGCATCGTGAAGCACCTAGTTGAATTATTAAATTTTTTTTTACTTTTTGCATAAAACAAAATACATAACATTGTTTCTTACCCTGTAGGGAATTAAATATGGCAAACAGGTACGTAAAGGCCAAATTGACCGGTCCCCAGGCGAAGAAGGCGAAGCCCCATGTAAGCCCGAGTAGGAAAGTAAGTCCCGCGATGCTACGAAGGTCATGCAAGCCGCTGCGGTACTGATTATTGTGAGGGTTTCTGCGCTTGATTCGTCTCAAATGGACCATCACCACCACAAACATGGCCAGGTTCAACACAAATATGATGCAGAAGTACGCCACAACAGCCACATAGAACGCTATGTTATTGTTCAGCCAACAACTAGAAGAGAGAAATATAGAAATATTAGGAGCGATGACATAATGAAGGCTGATGCCTTTAAAGCGGCCATGAACTGAGAAACCAAAATCCCCTCGATCTTTTGACATATACTGTAAGAGGTCAGTGTACTATAAAAACATCCTGTAAGTTTCAGAACCCAAAACTTTCTCATTAGTCTAAAAACTGCTTATATTGAATGCAGTCAGCCAAAACGACAGGTTGTGGAATGTGCCACTTTATGATGTAATAGTACTGCCTCCACAGAAGAAGATCAAAACGGGCAGTTCATGACCCCTTTAAATGATGAGGTGAATACTTACAATTCATCTGTAGTTCCGTCAGAAAACTTCCCATAGCTTACGAGGCCATAGTTATCTTTGTTTACCGCAATCACAATAATGACGACAACCAAAGGGATTCCTGCAATAACACACATTACGAAATTACATTTGCAGTCATCTACAGCCACAAACCACACAGCTAATTTAACAGCTGAACTCACCCCAGCCTGCCAGGGAAAATTTTAGCATGTATCGGGACATGAAGTTGTTGAAGACTTTGACGATGGCCAGGTACATATGCAGAGCCTCCAGTCCCATCCAGGTGAAGGAGACCAACAGGAAGTAGTGCAGGAAGAAGGCTGTGGAAATGCACAGGCCTACAGCATCTTTGTACAGCGCCAGCCACGAGTCCAACAAGAATACCAGGTTCAGCAAGAGCAGGCCGAAACTCAAATGGATCAAGATCTTTGAAGGGATGTCCCGGCGGAGTTTTCTGAAATGAAACGGAAGAAATGTGTAAATAAAGGTTCTTTGGGAATTCATTTCAGTTTACAGTTGATAATAATTTTGTCACATTTTATAAGAGGTTTTTGAAGGGGTCAATCGTGATTAATCAAATTTTAGGGCTTATAAACTCTGAGAGGGAGGATATTACTAACTCAAACGCGAGGTAGGTGATCAGAGTAATGGAGAGGAAGATGGCGGACACCCCACATCCGATATAAGTGATGAAGGTAAGGATGATGGCATGCAAAGAGTCAGATATGCCTTGCCGGCTAACGTCCTTTGAAGACAAAACAAGTTGCAAAATGATTACTGAAAACATTATAGAACAATCCCAGAAATGTGTAATGCATAGCTAACTCAGGGCTCAAAAATAAGGATGGCCAGTTGATTTAAATACATTTTTGTATAAATTTTTAATGAATAAATTACTGTTTATTTATGTAAATTGTTATTTTAGGGTTAGTAAGATATTTTTCTGAAAGAAATATTTTTTTTTCACCAAGAATAAATCAACATTGACTGTAGTAATGCAAAAGATTTTTATTTAAAATAAGCTCTGTTCTTTTTAACCTTTCTATTCAAACAATCCTGAAAAAAAAATCAAATTTCCAACATTGATAATAATAATAAATGTGTCTTGAGCACCAAATCAGCATTTTAGAATGATTTCTGAAGGATCATGTGACACTGAAGACTGGAGTAATGACGCTGAAAATCCAGCTGTGCCATCACATGAATAAATTACCTATATTAAAATAAAAATAAAAACGGTTATTTAAATAGTAATAATATTTCACAATATCTGGTTTTACGGTAGTTTTGATCAAGTAAAGGCAGTCTGGGTGAGCATAAGAGACTACTTTATTTATGGAACTCAAACCTTTGAAATATAACATGCAGTATATGTATGTGTATTTCTGACAGTTATAAAAATGTTTAAAGAGTAAGTAAAGATTAAAAATTTGTACGTAAATGTAATGTTTTTAAATATTGGCATGCCAAATAAAAATCCATTGTTGAGGCAGTCATCACTCTCTATGCTCAGTGTATTTTAGCATTTAAAAATCAAGAGTCTTTCTGACTTGTAAATGTTAATTAGACATAATGTGAAATGTTAATTAGATAAAAGATGTGGGTATTTCTGTGAAAAAAACCCCCACACTGACATACATACCAGTAGTACAGCAAAGCTTGTCAGGTGATTGCAGCTGCAGACAGTTTCGTTCTCGGTGCTGCTGTTTTTGACAGAGCAGCCGTTGCCATTCCAGCCTCCTAAACCTCCTAGAAAATCCAAAACACATAGGAATTAAAAGACATTAATTAAGAAATCAGACAGATCACATATTTCACAGTTTCTCAGGAATTCCTGGAGGTGTGTAATCTCACCGTTTTGGTCAAAGTCCCAGAAAACACAGGAAGCTACATAGTTCCCCTGTGGGAAAGGAGTTAACGAAGAGATAGATCAGACAGGTTTCAGCTGGCATTGAGATATAATGTACAGCAAATATGTATGCATTGCACACACACCGCAACGGGCTGTTTATTCCTCAGAGTAAATGTAACATTCTCCCTCAGGTTTTTGATTGACAGGTTAGCCACACTAGAGCCTAGTATGTGGCTGTTCAGCTTCTCTGGACTCAGGGTTTTATCCTGTAGATAGATGCAAAATCAAAGAATCAACTGATGAGCAGATCTGCTAACTATTTCTGAAAATGTTATCTAGTCAGGGTAGGGTGTCTGTTATGGTGCTTTTGCATTTATATCTTAAATACATGGTAATTGGAAAAGACAGCATGACATGAAAGTGAATAATAAATGACAGGCAATTGGTTTTCTGAAAATGTTATTTACAAACAATGCTCTGTGCCGATGTGTTCGATATGATACAGTGTTTTATATGAAACTCCAATCAACCCAGTTTTACCCGAAAAAATGTGCTTTTCTGAAAGAAGGTGAACTGGACTCTAGAGGCTATCTTCTTTTCTTCTGGAGAGAGGTTCTCTGTCAGGGATGCAGGTAGTGTTATTTTGGCCAAGGGGGAGGAACTTTCCACTGCCCTGACTTGTCTTTGAAGTCCTTTTGTGACCTGTATAACCAGAAATATAAACACCAAATTTTGAGTGTGACTTCCAAAAGCATCCAAAATGTTAATGAATTGCTTGGACTTCAGTTGTTATTACCTGTGGGTTTAAGGGATCTGCAATTGTGAATGATGTTTTCCCAAAGTTGGTCCCATCAACTTTGGTCACAGTCAAAGCGAGTGAATCAAATACGATGTTTTCAGTCTGGTCCCGAATCACAAGCTTCATACCCAAATTATCCACAGCTTTGATTAATCTACAAAGCACAATACATGATTTGCATTCAATATTTCAAGTTTGACAGTTTCAAACATTGAATGCTTGCGTTGCACGTGTCTCACCGGTTTGAGGAGGCAGCCACAGTATCTGCAGAGCTGTTTAGAAAGTTGTTGATGACGGACAGCACTATTCGGCCTAGATCCAGACTAATATTGGGTGCGGAGATAAGATTTTCTAACTGGTTGACCAGCTGACTGACCTCAGTTGAGTTTAAAGATGCCAAATTCTGTGTTTGGTTCAGAAGATCGCTAGCCACTGCATCTGGGGTTTTAGTTGTTGCTTCTGAAAAATGAACAAAAATAAATGAGCTGCTGTTGTAGATATGGCATAAATATACACTCGCACCAAAACATTTTTTAATATACTAAACTTCACTGCATTGGATACAAATTAGCAAGTGGCATCTGCAAACTAAAGCCATTCTCAGAACTTTTGCTATAAATAAATATAATTTACTTTGGTTTTTGTATAAAACGCAAACAGATTTGATTATTTAATGTCATTTAATGTTGTTTGGACCCCATAGATTTTCATGATATGATCAAAGAAAAAACATTGAGACGTTTGTTCAAAGTATCATTTTCTGTGTTCCACTGAAGGAAAAGGGTTGGAACAACTTGAGGTCACATAAATGATTATTTCTGAGTGAACTATCCATTTTAAGTGTACAAAGTTTTAGTAATTTTTACTGTTCCGTGGATGCATGTACCTAGAAAATCATTTATATTTGGAATTTTGAGTCAAGAAACTAGAGTAAGTTTTGCAATGTTGAGTCAAGAAATATAGCCAAACCTGTAGTAGTTGCCATGGTAGTGGCTGGTGTTGTTGGCACAGCTGGAACGGCAGGCCTCGTAGTGACTGTTGTTGAGTTGCTTTTGCTAGTCGTTGGAGTTGGAGCAATAATTGGAGCTTCTGTTGTGGAAGTGGAGCTGTTCTGAGGAGAGCTTGGGTGTATCACTGATGGAGCAGTTGTGGGAGCTGTACTGCTATTTGTGACAATGCTAATAACAATGGTCGTATTTGTTGGTATGTTGTTTGGAATGTTAATTGGATTGATTGTTGTAGTTGTGTTAGTGATTATATTTTCAGTAAAGGCATTTTCTATTGTGCTATTTGACTGTGTTGTGTTAAGAAGACTAACTGTTGTGACAGGCTCCAAAGTGGAGTTGGTTGGCCCACTGGTAATATTTTCTGTTGTTGGAAAGGTTGTTGTATGCATCTGTGTTGTATTTGTGATGTCAAACTGTGTTGTATTAACTGTAGGGCTTACAGTTGTATTCAGTTCCAATGTGTTATTGGAGGTCTCTGTTGAGTTGATGCTATGATTGACATCAGTCCCATTGAAATTGGTTTCATTCAGTGGCGCATCTGTTGTGTTAAACAAGGTTATGTTGATTGTAAAGGCTGTTGTATTTGATTGAGTTGTATTGAACTGATCTGTTGTGTTGGAATAAGTGACATCAGTTGTATTAAAAGTTGTGAAGTTAAGTGAATACATTGTAGTATTGAATTCAGGTGTATCTGTAGTGGTATCAGTTTCAGCATCTGTGGTCTCCTCCACTGTAGAATCATTCAGAGGTTGTGTTGTGTAATAAGGAATGGCTGTTGTATTGAATTCAGATGTACTGTCAAGAGGTTGAGTTGTATTTGATTCATTTACGTTACTTGGTGATTCTGTAGTGTGGGTTAGGCTTGTATTATCGGAGTGTGTTGCATTTTCAAATAGAGTGGTTTTAACTGTAGGGCTTACAGTTGTATTCAGTTCCAATGTGTTATTGGAGGTCTCTGTTGAGTTGATGCTATGATTGACATCAGTCCCATTGAAATTGGTTTCATTCAGTGGCGCATCTGTTGTGTTAAACAAGGTTATGTTGATTGTAAAGGCTGTTGTATTTGATTGAGTTGTATTGAACAGGGAGTCTGTTGTGTTGGAATAAGTGACATCAGTTGTATTAAAAGTTGTGAAGTTAAGTGAATACATTGTAGTATTGAATTCAGGTGTATCTGTAGTGGTATCAGTTTCAGCATCTGTGGTCTCCTCCACTGTAGAATCATTCAGAGGTTGTGTTGTGTAATAAGGAATGGCTGTTGTATTGAATTCAGATGTACTGTCAAGAGGTTGAGTTGTATTTGATTCATTTACGTTACTTGGTGATTCTGTAGTGTGGGTTAGGCTTGTATTATCGGAGTGTGTTGCATTTTCAAATAGAGTGGTTGTGTTATATTGTGTAACATGTGGGTATTGTGTTGTGGTATTTAAGACAGAAGAGCTCACATTTGTTGTGTTTTTGAGGTTTGTAGTAATTTTAAGTGTTCCGTTAACCTCTGTCACATTAGGTATTATTAAATCTGTCCTATTTTCTATGAGAGTTGTTACATTGTGAGTGAATAATGTAGTGTTAAATATTGTTGTATTGTCTTGCCCAGTAATGTTTAAATGTGTTGTGAATGTGGTGGTGTGTTGTGTAGTGTTTAATGGGGGTGTTGTTTCATTTAGGTGTAATGGTGCTGTCAAGTTAAACAGTGTTGTATTTGGCAGAAAGGTTGTGGTGGTGGTGGTGGACACTTCGCCAGAGATTTGAGAACTACTTGTGTTAGATTGTGTCGCATTTTCCAGACTTTCGGATGTGAAAGTTGAGTTTGGAACTTTCACTGTTGTATTGAATGGTGTGACTGTTGTATGATGTAGTGCAGTTGAGATGAGTGGCATGGCAGTAGTTAAGTGAGGTGCGACTGTTGCATTTAATGGTCTAACTGTTGTAATAAGAGTTTCACTTATCTGTGCTGTTGTATTGGGTGGTGTTGTTGTTTCCACCTCAGAAGGTGGTATGGCTGTTGAAATGAGTGGCATACCTGTTGTATTAAGTGGCATGATTAATGTGTTGAGAGTTGTTGAAGTTTTATCAAGTGTTGTGACTGTTGCAGCAGTTGTGTCAATTGATGTGGCTGTTGTACTGACTGTAGGGGTTGTTGAACTGAGTCTTGTGACAGTTAGGTTGAGTGGTATGACTGTTGTATTGACTGGTGAATATGTTAAGTTTTGTACTGTAACTGTTGTATTGACTGGTGGGGTTGTTACATTGAGTGCTATATCTGTTGTACTGACCAACGAGGTTGTTATAATGGGTGTGCCTGTTGTGCTAACTGGTGCGGTTGTTATTTTAGGTGTTGTATTTGTTGCACTGATCAGTAATGGTGGTACATTATGTGGTGTAGTTGTTGTGTTGATTGTCGTTTCTGTTGTTTTGACTGGTGAGGTTGTTATATTATGTGGTGTACTTATTGTATGGACCATTGAGGCTGTTACATTGAGTGTCGTATCTCTTGTACTGGCCGGTGAATTTGTTATATCGAATGTGGTTTCTGTTATATTGTGTGTTGGATCTATTGTATTGACCAGTGAGAGTGTTAAATTGAGTGTTGTTTCTGTTGTACTGACTGGTGAGGTTGTTGTATTGTATGGTGTACCTGTTGCGCTGACTGGTGGGATTATTATATTATGTGTCATATTTGTTGTACTGATTGGTGATGTTGGTATATTGTTTGAGGTACCTGTTGTGCTGACTGGTGAGGTTGTTATATTGTGTGTTGTATCTGTTGTGCTGACTGGTGAGGTTGTTATATTGTGTGTTGTATCTGTTGTGCTGACTGGTGAGGTTGTTGTATTGTGTGTTGTACCTGTTGCGCTGACTGGTGGGATTATTATATTGTGTGTCATATTTGTTGTACTGACTGGTGATGTTGGTATATTGTTTGAGGTACCTGTTGTGCTGACTGGTGAGGTTGTTATATTATGTGTTGTATCTGTTGTGCTGACTGGTGAGGTTGTTGTATATTTTGATATACCTGTTGTACTGATTGCTAAATTGTGTGGCGTACCTGTTGTATGGGCATTTGAAGTTGTTATATTGAGTGTCGATTCTGTACCTGTTGTTGTGATTGGTGAGTTTGCTATATTGTTTGATGTAGCTGTTGTGCTGACATGTGAAGTTGTTATATTGTGTGGTACTACATTGAGTGTTGTATGTTTTGAACTGACCATTGAGGTTGTTATTTTGTCTGTTGTATCGACTGGTTGAGTTGTTACATTGAGTGTTGTATGTGTTGTACTGACCACTGAGGTTGTTATTTTTTCTGTTGTATCTATTGTATTGACCGGCTGGGCTGTTACATCAAGTGTTGTATGTGTTGTAGTGACCATTGAAGTCATTATATTGTGTGATGTATCTATTGTATTGACCAGTGGGGTTGTTTCATTGAGTGTTGTGTGAGTTGTACTGACCACTGAGGTTATATTGAGTCTTGTTTTGACTTGTGAGGTTGCTATATTGTATGGTGTATTTGTTGCACCGACTGTTGTTGTTAATATATCATGTGCCGTATTTGTTGAACTGACTGGTGGGGTTGTTACATTGTATGTTGCGCTGACTGTTGGGGTTATTATATCGTGTGTCGTAGTTGTTGTGCTGACTGGTGAGGTTGTTATATTGGGTGTCTTATTTGTTGTACTGACCAGTGATGCTGGTATATTGTTTGATGTACCTGTTGTACCGACAGGTGAGGTTGTTATATTGGGTATTATATTTGTTGTACTGACCAGTGATGCTGGTATATTGTTTGATGTACCTGTTGTACCGACAGGTGAGGTTGTTATATTGGGTATTATATTTGTTGTACTGACCAGTGATGCTGGTATATTGTTTGATGTACCTGTTGTACCGACAGGTGAGGTTGCTATATTGGGTATTATATTTGTTGTACTGACCAATGATTCTGGTATATTGTATGATGTACCTGTTGTACCGACAGGTGAGGTTGTTATATTGGGTGTTATATTTGTTGTACTGACCGATGATTCTGGTATATTGTTTAATGTACCTGTTGTACCGACAGGTGAGGTTGTTATATTGGGTGTTATATTTGTTGTACTGACCAATGATTCTAGTATATTGTTTGATGTACCTGTTGTACTGACAGGTGAGGTTGTTATATTGGGTGTCATATTTGCTGTACTGACCAATGATGCTGGTATATTGTTTGATGTACCTGTTGTACCGACAGGTGAGGTTGCTATATTGGGTATTATATTTGTTGTACTGACCAATGATTCTGGTATATTGTATGATGTACCTGTTGTACCGACAGGTGAGGTTGTTATATTGGGTGTTATATTTGTTGTACTGACCAATGATTCTAGTATATTGTTTGATGTACCTGTTGTACTGACAGGTGAGGTTGTTATATTGGGTGTCATATTTGCTGTACTGACCAATGATGCTGGTATATTGTTTGATGTACCTGTTGTATTGACAGGTGAAGTTATATTGTGTGTTGTACCTGTTGTGCTGATTGCTGGGGTTGTTATATTGTGTGTCGTTGTTGTTGTACTGACCAATGGTGCTAGTATATTGTTTGATGTACCTGTTGTACTGACAGGTGAGGTTGTTGTATAGTGTATTGTAACTGCTGTATTGCTCAGTTGAGGTGTTACACTGGATGTTTTATGTGTTGTACTGACCATTGAGGTTGTTATATAGTGTTGTGTACTTGCTATATTGACCGGCGGTACTATATCACGTGTTGAATTGAGTGGTAGACTTGCTGTATAATTTGACACCGTGTTTGTTTGATTGCCTGTACTGTTGATGGATGTATTGAATATTAGACTTGTTGTATTGAGTGGTGTATTAGAAGTGTTTGTGGCTAATGGTGTGGATGGTGTGACTGTTGGGAATGTAGCACTGCTCTCAGAACTTGTTCTTGGAGGGACAACTTGAGTTGTGTAGGACTCAGAAGGTGAGACTTCACAGCTCTCATTTAAAATAACAGCGAATGTCTGACCCTGTGCACTGGAAAACAAAGAGCAAGATTGGAATGTTTGTTTGGCAAAGGCTTTTGTTAGTCCTGACACAACATTCTTGTCAAACAAACAATCCTAACCATTATATACTGCTAAAATGAGGAAATGATAGGTTGATAAGAATGTTGTTCAAAACATAAATCCAGTCCTAAGCCTGATTATACAGTAATATCTGATTGGTTAACAAGAATGCTGTTTCAGGACTAACACGGATGTTTGTCAGGACACATGCCCTACTTGGCAAAACCACATTAAATGGTTACGTTTACACTACCAACAGTTCTGATTTGCTTTGCAAAATTGTTCTTTAGGACTGATGTTTAATCATTAATCATTCAGGTTGGAATGTGGTTTGAATGTTTAATAAAAAAATAAAATTTGGTTTGAATCTGATATCCAGAAATGTTGATTTTCAGTGTAAATATAGCCAGAGACATGGAAATATATTAACTGAAATTTGAATAATTGAAATTTGACACAAATGTGAAGTATGCACAGTGTAAAATATGAACTGAATACAAGATTTACCATTTCAAATGGTCTTTGATGTCATCAATGTGGCTGGAACTGAAATTTACAGACATCCAAGTGAATGTTGAGTTTAAAGGAATGGTTTCCGAATCAGTGGGCAAACGACATATGGCTGTATAGTAGAGAGATAGGGGGAAAAAAAAGGCATTTTTACTGTTTACACCACTTGGATAAGCTTAGCTATAATTGGGGAATACCAGTACATACAGTTCAACACTCACCAATTTGACTGAGGGGTCCATCAAAACTAATGTTGGTACTGTCCTTCCAAAGAATGGCAATAGCAGTACTAACAGTACACACATCCAGCTGTTTTGACAGCTGCAGAGTTAACATACATGTGTAGAGCCTGAGGAATGACAGACAGGTTAAGCTGTCTGTAAATACACATAGACACACATAAACACACACGATAGTACAACTTGCCTCGTTCCTTCACCAAAACATTCCAAGTGCATTCCCTGCAAAGCATAAATCACAACCTTTTAGAGCAGATACAGAAAACAAGATTTGACCCACTTGTAACAAGATTATTTGACTGAAGATGGAAAACAAATGGATGTTTACCTGATACAACTGGGATACTTCAGTAAAAGAATTACACCGAGACCTATGAACGTGAAACATGAAACATGATATATATACACACACACACAAACACACAGAGGTTTGTTTTTATGGTTTATGGGGACTCTCCATAGGCGTAATGGTTTTTATACTGTACAAACCGTATATTCAATTGCCCTACACCAACCCTACCCCTAAACCTACCCCTCACAGGAAACTTTCTGCATTTTTAGATTTTCAAAAAAACTCATTCTGAATTATATATAAGCATTTTGAATTACGGGACACTGAAAATGTCCTCATAAATCACCTTCTCGTTGTAATACCTATGTCATACCCATGTTATTATACAAATTTGTGTCCTCATAAACCACATAAACATGCACACACACACACACACACACACACACACACACACACACAAACACAATATTTTTT